AACAACAACAAAATCAAAGTAAATGATCCAATCGAGAGAGAGAGAGAGAGAGAGAGAGAGAGAGAGAGAGAAAGAGAAACAAATGTTTAATCGAGATCCATATCATAGAATGAAAACAAAAAATAAGAAAAACAAAACGACAAAGCCAGAAACAAGATCCGAAAAACAAGAGAAAAAATTAGATCAAATTGTTCTACTCATTTGGGGGGATGGAAGAAATTCTTATTGTTTTTATTATTGGGCTCCAATAAAACATTCGTAGATACATTGTGTTTTCGAAAAGGGAAGCAAACTTCAGAACAACAACAAACCAAACCGAACCGAACAACAAAAAATAATTGTTGTTGTTGGACATCATCATCCATTCGCCAAATAACATTAACATGAATTTCTTCATTTGTTTTCTTTTCGTTTGTTTGTCGATAGTTCAAGTGATCAAACTATGAAAAAACTGAATTGCCTGTCTTGGTATTATCATCATTATCATTATCATTAATATTATTATTCGAAGCAGCAGCAGCAGCTATTTGAATTTTTGATGCAAAAACAAAAAAAAAAGAAAAATTATTATGAAAATTATTCAAGTATGTAGCAGGTGTGAACAATTGGCATCATCATCATAATCAAAATTATTATTATTATTATGATCATCATCTGCTGAATTCTTGAGAGAGAAAAAAAAGAGAAATACGAGTAGTAATTTGATAATTAACCATTATTATTATTATGATTCACCAATTTCATACATTGAATTGAAAAAATCTATAAAAATGATGAATAAAAAGCAAAGAAATATGTTATAGGCAATGTTTGTTCGCTTAAATTTAGCTTTGAAGAAAAGGCGTGCTAACAATTCACTTACCAAGAAGTGATAGTTATAGTCATGGTCATCAACCTAACCTAACCCAACTATGAATCACAGTCATAGTCATGACCATCATCAACCTAACCTCACTGAACTATGAATCACAGTCATAGTCATGGTCATCAACCTAACCTCACTCAACTATGAATCACAGTCATAGTCATGATCATCATCAACCTAACCTCACTCAACTATGAATCACAGTCATAGTCATGATCATCATCAACCTAACCTCACTCAACTATGAATCATGATTTTGAATGAAGCGTGATGTGCGCACTATTCACTTCATAAATTCATATACACACAGCAAACACGGCAAACACTTGAATATAGTCAGATCTATAAAAATTTATTTTTCCACAATCTCTTCAAATAAGATGCTAAACAATATCACTCTCTCTTGGATTCTTTCTTTTGTTGATTCTTCTATCTTTACAGATTTTCTTTTCTTCGAAAAATTATTACCACAACAAACATTATGGAATGTTTCTTCATCATATTATACATTAATAACTATGATGGCTAAGATCCTCACCAACAAAAAATGTCTAAAAAATGGGAAACAATATTGAAAGAAAGAATTCATTCAGGCAAATTATTATTACTTGCCAGATTTTTCTTCTTATTATTTGTTTTGTTTGTAATTCAATGATGGATGGACATTACACACACATACATTACGAAATAACAATAAATAAATGAATGAATGAATGAAACATCCAAGTATCATCATCATCATCATCTGGACAGAAACAGAATGGAATGAATATTGAAATAAAGTAATAATAACCATCATCATCATCATCATCAAGTGAGATTATCTTTCATTTTTATTTATTTGGTTTGGTTTGGTATAACCCAGTTGGTTTCAAGTGGATCAACAACAAAACTTAGATAAGAAAAATTTATAGAGAGAATATTACCCCATTATTTATGATGATGATGATGGGATGCAATGAAAAGTTTATTTGTTTTCTTTTTATTCTTTCTTTCTTTTAGCTAAATGAAAATCAAAAAGAAGAAGAAGAGAAAAAAACATTAACACCTTATGTGGTTGAATGAAAACGGACGTACGGAAACTTTCAACCGAATGAATCGAAATTGAATTGAATAGAATGGATATTGCATATAATGATTTGGGATGGTCACAGGAAATCTTTACAGGAAAAGGCCGGTATTTATTCAATTTCCATTCAATCATTCTGTTTTTTTGCCAGAAAAGATTTCCTATATATTCTTTAATGTAATGACGAGGGTGTTTTGTGTTCAAAGAGTTAATATTACAAAAAGATACGAACGATATGAACGAAAATGTCAATCAAGAAGAAAAACTTTAACTAAAAACACTAACGATGATGATGATTAGAATAATAATTGTCATCAACAACAACAACAACGAAAAGACGACATCCTTAAAACATTTCATAATTAACATTAATTTTCTAGTTTAAGAAACAGAAACAGAAACACAGAACTTCAAAAAATCGATCGAATTCATTTAATGTTTTTTTTTCGCCTATTCTTGTCTTCTATATTCTTTATTCTCAAATCTTTTATGTATGAATGTGATGCATGTTTAGTGTGTGTGTGTAGAAATTCGATCCAGAAAAAATTGTGACAAGAAAAAAACCTCAAACAAAAAACACCATGACCATCATCATCATCATTATCATTGTGTATTTTGAATGGAAAAAAAACCCACAAAAAAAGGAATATAATGAGCTGAAATAGTCGCGAACCAAAAATAATGTTAAATGATAATGACAGAAGAACTGAACTGAGTTTCATTCAAGATGCTCGAGGCTAAATATAATATATTTTTGCATCATCATTATTATTATTATTTTTCCTAAATGTGTGAAAATAATGGTAAAACAAATGATGATGATGATGATTTTCTGGTCAAAGAACCTTTCTATATATATTAAAAAGAAGAAGAAAAGCAATATTGATTGTTTAGGCATTTAACACTGCATTCTGGGATTCTCCAGATTTTAGGACATTATTTTGATTTGTCAAACAAAAACACTGCTATTAAACATTATTAAATAGAATTTTGAATGACACACGACTATATTGACATATCAGATATATATTTGAAGTGAAGTTTTTCGATTCTTTCATTTTGGATTTCTATTTGGAAAATTTCAACCTGAAAAAAAGAGTTGCTTTTCAAGAAGCAAGAAAAATTGCCTAGAAAAGCAAAAAAAAAAGAAGAGAAAATCCATGCTAAATGCAATATAGAAAAAGATAATTGGAATTTTTTTTTGGATGATGTTTACATTTCCACCAACACATCACTATCAACATCAGTCACTTATTAACATCACCCAAATCAACATCAACACCAGTCAACCAAACCCCTTTCATTTCAACTTATCGATCCAACCCCGAAAAGAAAAAATAATTGATTGTTAATTAATTTCTTTGCATTTCTCTTCAGGAAAAAAAAATCATTCAACCCAATCTCAATCAAAAGAAAAAAAAAGATTTTCAAAATGAAAAAATCTTTCAAACTGCAATGAAAAAACAACAACAACAACAACCAAACGAGAAATTGTAATATTTACATTTGTCAATCTTCAATCATTGAGATAAATCGATAAAGAATTCTTTCATGATGATGATAATGCCTGAAGCTAAAACAAAATGATAAACTGAAACGACGACGAAAAATGGCAACCCAGAAAATAATAATAGATTTTGATCTGATTCGAGAAAATCAACAAAAAATGTGTGTGCAAATAAAACGATAAGCCGATTTATTTTTATTTGTTTTTTCATCATCATCATTTTCATCACACTAATCTGATTTGAATATTGAGCAGCAGCAGCGAATAAAAAAAATCAAAACAAAACAAAACAAGATTTGCTTCATTCATCAAACTCCAAATAGAGAGAGAAAGGTGTTTGCAGTAAAAAACAAAAGAAAAAGTGATCAATAATTATCCAAGAGTTTCAACCGAAAAAAAAAATTATTTTCTGGGCATCGTTCCAGAAACAACGTTGATTATTTTTTCTTTGAAAAAAAATTATCAATTCTGGAAAACTGGAACGGAGTGTTTCGATTTTATTTTTCTTCATTATTTTTTTTCCGTTGAACCACCACTACGACGAATGGATAATGATTGAAAAACTGAAAAAAACTAAAAAAAACATCCATTAACTCGATGAGTTAGTTAAGTGTGAAATGATGAAACACTGGAAAAAAACGAGCGAAAAAAATTTATTGACTTAAAACAATGTGATGAACACACAGAGAATCGAGAGATTCCATGTAATTTTTTTCCATACACAACCCTTTCATTACTTTTATTTTTGTTGTTGTTGTTTGTTGCCGAAATATCGTCATTATTTTAGATTTAAAATGAGTTCTTTTTTTGGGCAACATTCCAACTGGAAAAGAATAATAAAATTCATCAGTTTTTTCCACCAAAACACCAACACACAATCAATGTTTAATTATCCAGTATTGTTTTTTTCGGGAGAAATTTTCCGGGAAAAAACTTGACAATGATTAAAAGGTGGTCAGTGTAAAAAAACAAAGTTATCTTGCTTCAGAAAAACAATGTTAAAAAGCATTAATTAATTGCATTCTTTTTCTCCCCATTGAATTATCATCAACATCATCATCAAATATCCATTGTCGAATCGTAAAACAAAAACAAACGAAAAATCAATTTCAAATGGCCATGACAGATTGCAATTGAATACTGATTCAACTGAACTTTGAACAACAAATAACAACCAAATCTTACATTTCATCTAATTTATTATCATCTATCTATATCAAGTCAAGTGTAGAAAAAACAAAAAAAAAATCTTACTTATTATTATCAAATAACTAATTATATCGAAATCACAGATACAGAGTTATTTAAAGATGCTAACAAAGATAGAGAAAAAAATGACCCAGGCTTTCCATACACAGAGAAAAACACTGGAAAATTTTTCCAACATCATCATCATTTGAAACAAAGGGAACAACAATTATCTTGTCCCATTAAGAATGACCAATGGTCGTTTTTTCTTGGCTGGAAATTCTATCCGGAAAAAAATATTAGAAAAAAATGAAAAAAATACCCTGATTCGAAACATATCAAACCACACTAAATAGCTAAAACTATTAGGTTTTTCATTCGATTCGAAGAAACAAAAAATGAAATATAATTTCATAGGAAAACAAAAGAATGATGATGATAATAAATAATAGCATTTCACTATACTCACAATATGTAATCACACACATATGGATTTTTTTTATATTTCGAAGAAACGTGGATCCAATATAAAATTTTTTTTTGGAGTGCCACCACTGATATTACCATTACCATTAATATTATTATTATCATTATGAATGATAATGGTAGATTAGTAATTATCAAAATATATATTTGGAATCCGCATTCAAAGTTAAGCTTCCGATAGAATTTTTTTTTTGGCAATTCGGGTAATTTGAGCAATGGCGAGAGAAAAGCTGCTTAAGAATCGCTTTCGAGCCGCCATCACCATTATTATCATTATTTGGGAATTTACTCTTGGAATCGGGGGAAAAAAAGGATACACACTTTTTTTCCCGTTGATTGGTCATTCATTCATTGTTCGGATTCACTTTTTCACGAATAACAAAACAAAAAAAGAAAAAGATAATCGGATGAATCCAAAAAAATCTTATCAATGTGATTGCAATGTGTGTATTTGTTGATTACAGTGTTTAAATCAATATCAAACTTATGTGTTGTAATAATCTCCTAATGAATGCCTTATATACACTATGTATTTACTCAGTTATGTCATTGGATTCTTTCTAATTAATTAAATAACCACACACAACAAAAAAAAATTACAGAGAAACTTTACGAAAAGAAAACAAAAAAAAAAATCTATGGATTTTTGTATTGATTGTAAAAATTATTATTTTTATTAATCTAATTATATTACACAATTTGATCAATGGACAATAATTATTAAAGTCCAAAACTAATAAATATATAAATTAATCATGATTATTGCGGATAAAAACTATTTCTGCGCACATAAAAACACATTTGGATGGTTTGAATTAAAGCAGTGAAGCCTGTATTCATATTTTTGTTTCTCCGCTTAAACATTGAATTTTTATAAAGTTTTTTTTTCACAAAAAAATAAAACTTTTTATTTTTGAAACCATCAAAATATATGGAGAAAAAACACAATGGGAAATGAAGAAATAAAAAAGATAGAGAAAGAAACATTCATTATCCATTCAAATGATGATGATGATGATTATGACAATTTTCACTATATTCCATTCATTTATTCACTCATTTCATTTCATAGAAAGAGTTGATTTCTATAGTAGAAAAAAATTGTTGTTGTTGTTGTTTTCAAACAATAATAACAACGACGACAACAAAACTAGATCATCATCATCATGATTGTTGAATAAAAATGTTATAATGAACAACAACAACAACAACTGCAACATCGACCGGACCGCATTTCTCTTTATTTATTGTTTCATTTCATTTTTGCCATTCAAAAACAACAACAACCCAAATCTATATAAAGATAGCGAAATGAATTTATTCAAAAAAAAGTTTCATTCATTCCTTTCATTTAGTAAAAAAAATCTAAACATCTTAATTAATCAATCAATCAATCGATTTAATAATAATGAATTAATTAATCGAATGTAACGATGATGATAATAATCATCATTAAGATGATGATGATGATGATGATGATAATGATGTTAAAGAAATTTTCAAACAAGAAGGTCTTACTAACTAACAACCACAATAACAACAAAGACAAACTTCGGTGTAAAACTTCTTTGAAACGAAGAATAAAAAGTTTTTTTTTTCTCTTGCGAACAAAAAAAAAGAGAAGAAACGGAGAAGAAGATAAATGATGTTCACATACATAGATGACATCAATTTCGTTTCGCTAACAAAAAAAAAAGAAACATTCTTTTTTTACTATTCACATTCGACGATATACACTTTTAGTTGGTGATGATGTTGATGTTGATGATGATGATGATCACTCATCAATTTCTTTCATTTTTTTTGGGCAAGAAAGAAAAAATGATTCACACAGAGAGTGAGAGAATCAGAATCACAGAATAATAATAATAATAAAGAAAAAAAAGAAAATTGAAACCAAGAATCTTTTTTCATTTCATTTCTCTATATTCATGTTCGCCAATGTCGTTGTTGTTGTTTTTCTCAATCACAATACAGTTCTACATTTCATACAATGGAAAACAAGAATGAAATTTCAACTTTCAGTTTTTTCAGTATAGTTTTTTTGGTTGGAAATGAAAATGATTTTTGGCCAATAAAATGAGATATACCCAGTCAGTCATTCATTCATTTATACAATGACAATATCAATGTTAATGTTGATGATTATCATCATCATCAACAACATTTTGAGTATCTGTTTTTATTTTTTCATTTCATTTTCACAGTTTTTTTATATTTTTACAATTGAAATAAATGTTCATTATTCATGGTTTGTATGGATTTTTTTTCATTTATATCATTCATTCATTCATCCAAATGCAATACAATACATTAATACTCTCACTGCCTATTCATTTCTTCATTGATAATGACATAAGAATTTATTGTCATCATCATCATCGTTCGGCGTTATTTTGAATGCGACAGGAAAAAATGAAATTAAATTCTATTAGCTTCTATTTTGAATGTGAGAGCCAAATGTATAGTAATGGCTAGTTTGACTATATATAGATCCATCATCAATTCACTTAATTTTATGGAAATTTTCATTTTGAAACCCAGTTATTTGGACATATGGTCCACTATAATGCATTTTTATCTATGATGATGATAATGACGATTAAAAATTATTAGTATTTCTCTATGGGAATCCTGTTTTGCCAGATATAAATAAAAATAAAAACTCTAATGGATAATGTTGTTTTTCTTCATTCATTTTTTCAGGTTCCCAAAGGGCAATCTATCCTATCTATGTATTGCACTTATAGATTTGGACAGAAAATGTATCCAGGAAAAAAATGCTTAAATCATCAATGGAGAAATCAAAATAGCCATGGACATACACTCTAGAGACAATATTTTCTCGATATAAACATAGGTTCCTGGAATAGGTTCTTTTTTAAAAAAAGAGTGTCATCAACTTCAAATATAATTCACTTCGGAACATTTCGACATTTGACATTCATTCACTATATATAAACTTCATTGATTTATTGAAGCAGAAAAAACTTAAACTTACCCGCTCTTAGTTGACAATCACGGCTTCTAATCGTTGAAAATGTATTACTTGCCATACATCGATATGTCTGCAAAAAAAATATATATTTGAGAAAAATTCCGGAAAAGATTCTTTAAAAACAAACCGTTGAATGAACATCTTGTCGATATTGATCTAAATCAAATGGTGGAAATACTAATTGACCATTCGGTCGTATATAACGTATACCGGTAATTTCTTGGACAATAGTTTGACTATCAGCATTAATCCACCATATTTTTACTGATGATATTGATGATGTTGCTGAACATGATATAACTGTACCGGTGGAATTTGCAAATGATATTCGTGATGGTGGTTCATCAATAAATATCGGTGATAATAATTGCTGTTGTGATGATAATTTTTCCACACCCAAACCACCACCACCACCACTACTACTAGTATCGATTATTGAAGCCATCACTATTGATGATTGTTGTAATGATAATGATAATAATAATATCATGACATATAATAGTTGTCGTAATCGAATAGATAACATCATCATCATCCAACAAAGTTTTCCACTAGAATCTGTCGTGGTGCCGGAAAATAAATTTATGGAAAACAAACATAGAAAGAATGAAACAAAAAATCAAAATAAATGATCCAATTTAACACTCTCTCTCTCTCAATGTGACTGGGACTGTCAATAAAATGGAGAGAAAAAGGAAAATTTTATTTCTATTCAAGAAAAACGAACGAAATTAGTCAAGCCTTTTAACTAATTGACTTTGAATTTTTTTTCGCTTTTTGAAAGTTAAGTTAAAGAAGGAAGTCTCTATGGATGGAACTAAGCAAACTAAAAACTATATATACAATCTTAATATTATTATTTTTCAGTAACTGGCAGCCAGACGATTAATCTATGGGAACCCGAAATAAAAAGAAAAGGGTTCCAGGCACGTTCCAGAAAAATATTCAAAAAAAGAAAACATTGGGAAATAAATAAATAAAGAACGGAAAAAACAATTTTAAATCAAATTTAAAATGTCTCTCTCGTTTTTGTCTCATAACAATCATCAAACCCGAAAAAACATTTTACGAATGAAACACAATAATGTTTTTTTGTCGGGTTTAAATTCTTGTTTCGGAAAAAAATTTTTGCAACATAAAACTTACATGTAACGACAGTATGATGATGGTTTTTATCATCATCATCATCATTAACATTAACATCTTGATGATGAAAAACAAGTGATGGAAAACATTTCATCATCATCATCGTTGTTGTTGTTGTCATCATCGTTTCTTCCTCTTTTTGAAAATTATTTACTGATTTTATTATCGGTTTGATTGAAATTTTATTCAAAATTTGACATTGTTCAATAATAATGTTATCATCATGATGACAATTCCAATGTTTTAGAATAAACATGATACATTACCATTGAGAAGGGATGAGAATTTTTTGTTGAAAACCGCAGAATTTTTTCTCAAAAAACAAACACAAACACAAGCAGTAGACCAAAATATTTGGAGAAAAAAAAACAAACAAACAAATCTTTAACCCGAAACAAACCCAAAAATCCCGGTAGTAAGAATATTTTGTTGTTTGGTTGATTGGTTCTATTCGAAATCAAATTCAAATCCTGATTTTTTTTCGACTTTTCAACCATTATCCTGATAATCATTGGGCGTCGGCTATTTTTACTGTTGTTGGATGAAAAAGAAAAATTACAAAAAAATTACAACATTCGACGATCCACTCGATAATAATAATGATGATTATGATGATGATTAGGATAATTTATCGCATTAAGATTATGTAATGTATATGTGTGGTAATATGATGATAATATCTATTTGCAAAAACTCAATTTTGTTGAATTTCACAAATGATGATGATGATGATTGGCATGATATATCATCATTATCAACCAACAACAACAACAAAGATGATCAAATTCTTCAATCACCATTATTTTTTGAAGATGATGATGATTATCCTAATAATCATCATCAAAACAAAACAAAAACAAAGGTCATCACCATTATCATTATTTCAATCGAACGCCAAAAAAAAATTCGAATATTTCGCATTCGAATGTTTTGAATTCGAACACCAAAAAAGCCGGATGTCGATTTCACATATGACGTGTCATAATTTTTTGTCAAAACAAAGTTTCCATCAATAATGGATCATACCACTAATAAAGCTAATTTTCAACGAAAAAAATTTGAAGAAAAGAAAAATTCAGTTGATCTTAGCTGCTGTTGTTGTTGTCGAAATCAGTCATCATCAGTCAAACACTTTTGATCATCATCATCGATTTTCATCATCATCATTATTGTGGAAATTCTTGATTACAATCAGAGAAGAGAAAAGTAGAAAGATTTTTCGATTCTCACAATATCCCCTCTCTCTCTCTTCAGAATCGGTTGTAACAATGTTTTTCTCTTGACGACGATGAACAACAAGAGAAACAAAATCAAATCAGTTCATTGATCATCATTGATCATTGATCATGATCAATAAAACTAAAAGATGATGGAAAATGATTGATCACCATTTATCGAATGATACACAATAAGAACTTGATTGAACTTTTCATCATCATCAAACATTATTAAAAACCAAGAAAATAATTTCGAAACCAAATGAAACGAAAAAAAGTTGAAACATATTCCGAAGATCAGGAGAAAAAAACAAGAACAAAATCCATGACTTGATACACAACACACCAAACAACAAACAAAGACTGAATGAATGAATCCTGCCCGCCAAAATTCCATCAATATTCGATTCTATATCGACTTATATAACATAACCATAGTGGAAATGGCGTCTGCGCTGGCGACAATGATTAAATTATCATCAAACGCATGCGTTATTTGTAATCTTTAAAAAAATTTATTTTTTCATAAAAAATTCAAATAAAAATTAAAAATTATTTAATGAAATTAAATGCCTTATTGTTGGACGATTATGTGCACAATGCCATGGATTTCTTATATCAATCATTTTAGCTAAAAGCATTTTCATTTGTAACCTTGTTAGATAATCACCAATCATAATACTTGATCGACATGAACGGGATGCAATTTCACGTTTCAAACCACTAAACATAAATCTTGAATAATGTATTGTTTCATGATGATGATCAATAACCAATGAAGGTGTATCGAATAAAGTGGAAATCAATTCTTCAATATCTGTTTCATTGCCTGTCCAACGATTTGCAATTGGTATCTGTGTAATTTGAATACGTTGTCCAATCGTATCAATCAAGTTAACATTAAAATCAAATCCAAATTGTTTAAAAATCTTTAGATTATCCAATAATAACATTTCACTTGTTGTTGATAATTTTAATTGTTTTGGTATAACCATTCGTTGACGACTAATTGGTGGATTTGATAATAATCGTTCATAATTATAACGTTCATCCAGTGCATGTTGATCCAATACAAAAAGATTATTATCATAATGAACGACAATAAAACCAAGATTATATTGGCCAATAATTTGTGCATGTTCGAATAATTTTTTATCAATTTGAACTTTGGTGGTGCCATCTTGTATGATGGTTTGCTTGTCGAATGATCGATTTATTTGACGATAACCAGAACAAATATTTTCAATTGTTTGATCGACAATAATTTCATCACGAAATGATTGATCACCACCATCATCGATATTATCATCGGTAGTGGTTATTATTGTCATCGGTAGTTGCTGTTGCTGATGATGTTTTGTTTTTTTTCGTTTCGGTATAATGTCCATTTCGGATGAACCATTCTTCGGTTGATTGATCATTGGTGGTGGCTTGGTCAGTTTTAATGACTCAAAATATGGATGTTTAAATTCTACTGTTGTTGTTTGTGATTGTGGTTCGGGAATCAGAACAAATTTCGGTTTTGGTTGTGAATCAATCGATGGACGAATCTGACTAATATCGGCCAATATTTCATCATCATCATCATTTTCAATGTTTATTGCTGATTTAATTGGCGTTGAACATTTATCACCACCACCATCAGAAATGGATAAAAACGAACGAATCTGTGTTTGTGTTTGATTCGTTACCATATGCATTTCATCACGATCAAACATTCGTATCAATGATCTTTCAATCAATTGCAAAATCAATGTATTTTTAGCCAATAAAATTGTTCGTTTATCCGGTGTACAATTCAAATCTATTGATGATTGTTGATCGGATTCAATATCAATTCGAAGCACTACGAATGGATATTGTTGACGATTATATTGTCGATATATTTGATTAATCTGGCGACAAATTTGTGGTAAATCACATGGACGATTATTTATGTAAAAATATTGCCGATCTTGTTGTGAACGACCACAACCTTTATCCGGTTTCGAAATGTAACCACTGATTTTTATCACTGGATTATCACTGGATTCCAAATCTTCTTCATCAATTTGAAATGGCATTAGATTGGAAAATTGTTTGAAATTAAATACCGAAATTATATTCGATTGAATTGATTGGCCATTATTATTGAATATTATTTCATATGAACCATTACGATAATGCCAAGTGGATAAACGAAAACCAATAATACCAATACAATATTCATAAATTATTGCCAATGTCTTATCGAATGATCGACGAAGATTTTGACATAATTGTTTTCTTCGTACGGGAAGTTGTTTGAAAAGATTTACCAACCGTACGGTTGTACCGATTTCACGTGGGCTATTCTCTTGGGTGATAATTTCACCATTCGAATCAAATTGAATAACAGTACCGATTTGCTGATTTGAATGTCGGGTATGAATCTGCAGTTCACATAGATTACATAGCGAATTCAATGCTTGGCCACGAAATCCATATGTATTTACAGAATTTAGCTGATTAAATTCCAATAATTTTGATGTACAATTACGTCGACATAATAAAGGAAAATTATCGGCATCAATACCACAACCATTATCGATTATTTCTATGGAATCTTTTCCCTGTTCGATAAATCGTATAACGATCGATGTTGCCGATGCATCCAATGCATTTTCAATCAATTCTTTTACAGCCGATGACATTGATGCAATCACTTGGCCAGAACAAATTCGCCGTACAGTTTGTGGATCCAATTGTTTGATATCCATTTTTACCGGAATTTAATTAACCACAAAAAAAAAATCATTCGGTTTTCTTGGAATTTTCAAAGTTGAAAGTTTTCGAACAAATCTCAAACAGCGCGAAATAGCTATTTGGCTATTTCGACCAAAAGTGGTTTATGCATCATGATGATGATGATGAACACGTGAGAATTTTTGTTTGTTTTCGAAATTCATCAAAATCAAAAAACCGAGAATTTTTCGGAAATTAAACTGAAAATGAGTTTTATGTTTTCATCGTATCGTCGAACAAAGAAAGGTTCAATAATCAGAATTGTACGTGAACGTTATCTACGTGATGATATTCATTGTGGTCGTGAAAAATGTGCCGAATGTAAACGATTTAAATTGGCGGATAAAGATTTTTCGGTGATTTCCGAATATCTAGTGGATAGTGCACGTCAATCGTTGAATAAATTGCAACCAAACGCTCATTATGTTGTGCCAAATTTTGAAACATTAAACAATCAAATTGATGTGATTGCTGATCCAGAATTCGGTAATGATGTAATCATTTTAAAAACAATTTGGAAACGAATCAAATCAAATATTAATGCCTATTCAAAACTAAAGGAATTATTTTCTTCACGTCGATTCTACCTGTTTGATAATGAATTTTTTCGTAAAACATTTCGGTGAGTTTTTTTCTTTTGTTAAAACTGAATTTTCAAAATAATAATTTTTTCAAATTGATTTTAGACGACGAAATCACGATGAAACAATTGATGAATATAATGATAATCTATGTCGAGAAGCATGTGAATGGTTACAAAATCATTTCAAATCGATTCAAATTGTTTATCTGATTGATTCGAAGAAAAATAGCAACAGTGACAGTGATAAATATCATTTTCAAATTCATTCCATTGAAGATTATGTAAAAAATTTCCATAATCCAATCGGTTTGTTGGATAAATTATCGGCCAATAATGATAATGACGATGACAAAGATGGTAAAATAAAAAAGATGAAAAAAACTGATTTCCTTTATGATGAACATCTGCCATTACATAAAGTATTACAGCAAATTAAATCCGGACACCTGCATAAAGGTTGTTATCATTCGAATCGTTATAATTTTCTTCAAGGAACAGTTACCGTTATGATTAATAATGAAGAAATGAATATCCATATTGATGGTCGATCGAATATTAATCGTGCAATCAATGAAGATATTGTTGCTGTCGAAATTCTTCCCGAATCAGAATGGAAATCCTCAACAACCGATACAGTATTGAATGAAGAATTGATTGCCGATATGGATGATGATGATAATGATGAAAATAATCAATTGATGATGGATGTTGATCAGCAACAACCGAAAGATGAAGATCAAAAAACAACCATGTTGCTGAAACCAAAACCATACGGTAAAATTGTAGCTATTATTCGTCGAAATTGTCGAAGTTTTTGCGGTGTTTTACGTGAACCAAAATTGTTGACCAGAACATTGACAAATTTTCTATTCATACCGGTTGATAAACGTATACCGTTTGTACGAATTGAAACCAGACAATATGAACAAATTCGTGGGAGGAAAATTCTCGTTCAGATTGATTGTTGGCCACGTGATTCACGTTTTCCAAAAGGTCATTATAGCCGAGTGATTGGTGAATCTGGTGATAAAGAAACTGAAACAAATGTTTTGTTGTTGGAACATCAAATACCACATATGGAATTTTCAGCACAAGTTTTAAATTGTCTACCACCAGAAGGTGAACATTGGATACCAAAACCCGAAGATTTTCTTGATCGTAAAGATTTTCGCCGTGAATGTATTGTATCGGTTGATCCACCTGGTTGTACTGATATTGATGATGCATTACATTGTAAAGATTTGGGTGATAATCAACTTGAAGTTGGTGTACATATTGCTGATGTAACACATTTTATACGGCCAGGTACAGCATTAGATCGTGAAGCCAGTGAACGTGGTACAACTGTTTACCTGGCTGATCGTCGTATTGATATGGTACCCGGTTTGCTTAGTTCGAATCTTTGTTCATTAATCAGTAACCGAGAACGATTATCATTTAGTTGTATTTGGAAGATTGATGCAAAAACGGGTGAAATTAGTAAAACTCAATTTACAAAATCAGTAATTTGTTCACGGGCATCATTAACATATTCGGAAGCTCAGGCTAGAATTGATGACCGTGAAGATCAAGGAGAAATTGCCCAAAGTTTACGACGTTTGAATTGTTTGGCAAAAATTTTACGTGCAAAACGTATTGAAAAAGGAGCACTGGTTCTGGCAAGTGCAAATGAAATACGTTTTGTCGAAGTGGAATCCGAAACAGCTGAAAATGAATTGATAATTTTGGAAAAACAAGCATTGGAAACAAATTCAATGATTGAAGAATTTATGCTTTTAGCAAATATTTCGGTTGCTCAGAAAATTTATGAAACTTTCCCGGAACTTTCGGTACTAAGACGACATCCAAAACCAGCACAATCAAATTTTGAAGAACTGATTCAAGCTGCTAAAAATCGTGGATTCGATATTAATGTTTCGGATGGAAAAAGTTTATCCGAAAGTTTGAATCGAATCCAAGATCCACAGAATGAACATCTGAATCTTTTGTTTCGAATGATAACAACAATATGTATGAGTCAAGCGCTGTATTTTTGTAGCGGATCACTTGGTTCGGATCCAAATCTAACGTTTTTTCATTATGGATTAGCATCGGAAATTTATACCCACTTTACATCACCAATACGTCGTTATGCTGATATACTTGTACATCGTCTACTAAGTCATTCAATAGATTTTGAACAACAATCACCAGAATTTCTTTGTAAACGTAAAATTTCGGATATTTGTCAACATATTAATCAACGTAATATGAATGCACGTCGTGCAAGTCGTTCATCAAATGAATTATATTCATATCTTTATGTACGAAATTCACCAAAAAAATTCTGTCATGAAAAGGGTTATATTTTTACTATAAAAAATAATGCATTGGTTATATTTATAATGCATTTATCATTCGAAGTTGTTTATATGTTTGATGATGCCGATGATCAATCCACCACCAAGAACAAAGATTGTTGGCTTATTGATCAAGAAAATGGTTATGTTCAGCATAAACCATCGGGCATACGTCTTCGACAATTTGATCCAGTTCAAGTTGAACTTTCAATAAAACCATCAATATTACAATCAAATTTTAAAAAACAAATTAATGTCAAATTGATTGATCCAAAAATTGATTGATTTTTTTATTAATAAAATTTCATTAAAAAAATTATGATACATTTTTTTCATCATTATCATCTGTGGGTGTAGAATCATTTTCCGTTTCAATTAGACTAGACCAGAATTTACAATTGACATTCGATACACGATGATCGAATGGTATAACCGTTGGTGTATCAATAAATTCAATTCGTGTTGAATCGATTCCTAATTGGCCATATTTATTCCAACCCCAACCAAATAATAGGCCATTTTCGGAAACAGCCATTGAATGACGTGAACCAGCTGCAATGGCAATAAAATGATCATCTTCTGATATGTCCAACAGTTTTGGTATGGTTTCGATTTTGATCATCGAACGGTCAAAACCTAATTGACCACTTTCATTCCAACCCCAAACATAAACATCACCAATTTCCGATAATGCCAGTGAATGCCAACCACCAGCTACAATAGCTTTGAAACGAATTCCTTCCAATGCTTCCACGATTTCAGCCTTATCATCAACAACATTCGAAATTGATCCATGTCCTAATTGACCACGACTACCATTACCATAACTTAAAACAATACCATCATCGGTAAGTAAAAGTATATGTTCTTGTCCAGCACTAATCGAAATGATTTGATCATTTTCCCGGCTAATCGGTTTAATCAAACGTAACTCCGTTGAATCGAATAAATAAGCTTTATGTTGATCGGTTATCAAACATGAATATTCGGCACCAATACAAACTTGTTCGACGTTGATATTTTTTTCCTGTTTATCATCTTGATGATTATTTGATGATTGATCATTCGCACTGTCAACGTTGTTGGTATTTTCGTTAAAATCGATTAATTCGGGTAATGTTTTTTCGAAATTGAATCCAGACCTGGAACAGGGGGAAAAAATGGTCAATTTGGAAAGAATTATCAATCAATAGACATACCATTTATAGATTTTTGAATCTAATGTAACCAGGAATGTTTCCTTTGAACCACATTCAATTTGTATAATATATTTTGGTACTTTTGAACAAACAGTCATACTATTTTGACGTTTTTGTTTTGAATAACCAAGAAATATAATCTGCCCTTTGGCTGTTTGTAGAAACAGCGAACACCAACCAATAAATGCTTGAATTATTTTATCATGATCATCTAGGATAAGATCGCCCAATGAATGAAGAAAAATACCTTGTTCAGGTTTTTGACGAAATTGAAGAAATGCATCGAATCCACAATACCATAACATTTTTTTTTGGTTTGCGGTTTTTCTTTTTTTGATGAAAAAAATTGATTAAACAAATATTGACTTGAACACAAACGCAAAATTCTAAATCATGATTATTACGACGACGATAATCGAGGTCAGACACTCAGAAATTATGGATGTCGACAGTGTTTGAATGAAATTTGGGTGACGAATTCATTACAACACACAAACATTGATGATTCTTGTTGGTGAAATATGCAAAGCAAGAATCTATGTTTGCCAAAAAAAAATTGATGATCACATGAAAATCATCAAATGTTGTTGTTGCCATGAAAAAAACATCGAATGTTTATTGTTGATTGAATGTATTTACCCTGAATTCACGATCGGTATATTGAAAATATGAACAAATAAATGATGCAAACGAAAATGAATGACTAATAAATGGAAACGTGAAAAATGGGTAATTGGAGTTATTCACAGATAATGTTTTTGTTATCAATCAAGATTATCAAAATGTTTGAAAATTTAATTTATTTAATTTATTAAAAACCGTTATTGAAATCACAGATCAAAAAAATATCACCAAAATAAGAATAAATAAATGTCGCTATGGATAGCGAGCAAGAATATCAAGAATTCGTTTATTAACTAAACGTCCGGAATGTTTACTCCAAACTAGATCCATATGTCCCCATGATGGATCCGATATTAGATAATCATCGATCAGTTTCACTGCAAAGAAACAAATGGATAATAATTCTCTAAAAATAAATCATATTATTACCTTTAAGTTTACTTTTCAATCGATCAATATTGATCATAGTGTTGAAATAATCATTCGATATATAGAAAAATGCCATATCGGTTAAATTAATTCGGCTAGCATCATATAAAGGCGGTGTTAAACGACCATATTTTCGAAGATTATTCAATGGACCATAATCAAAACGTGAAGGATTACCATGTTGAAACATTTGAAAAAAATGTACAACATTCCATGATGATGATCCCAATGGAACATTGGCAAGATATACATTCATTCGATGCTGGAAAACAAAACAAAACATTGAAAAAAATGACCAAAATCATCAAAACTTACCATATTAAGATTTTGAGGATTACCACCAAGAAAATAATGATAAACATTATGACAAAATTGTGCCGTATTTGGATTCATACATAGTTCCGTATAAGTTTTACGAATTTCCATACCGAACGGTACTTGTGTTGGATGTGTTCTATTATCATTATTATCATTCGAAATCGATACAATCGATTGTTGATTAACGATATACAAAAAAGATAAAAACAACAAAAAACTTACCTAAGAACTTCTTTTAATGATCCATAAAATCTTAATGGTGTTTTTAATTGTTCAGTATAGAATACTGGTGACAAGGCAATGTATGGACGAATTTTCTGTGAATATTCCGGTCGGGTTGATAATAATGCCAACATTATAAAATTTCCTTGTGAATGTCCAATATAACCAATCGATTGATGATTAGTTTTGTCGATAACATAATCAATAATTGCTGGTAAATCGATTAATGCCATTTCATCGATTGAAAATGACCAATATTGTCGACCTGGTGATGATGATGATAATGATAATTTTGATTCAAAGTTAAGTGGTAAGTTCATCATTTCAAAAACATACTTTTTGGATTGAATTTAATATGATTATTCGAATAGATACTACCCCTGTAATTAGCTAACCAAACATCATAACCATGATTGGCCAATACAAAACCTAATGTATTGCCAACGGCTGTATCATTTGTTTGTTGCGGTTGTTGTGGTTGTCGATAGCCATTTTCATCAAATTCATAATAATAACCATCATTCATTAATCGTCCCGATGCGGTAATTATCCAAAATGATCCTGTACATTGAAATCCATGAAACAAAATTATTGGTTTTCCCGGTTTATTCGGTTGTTGTTGATCAATAAGAATTTTCGGATTTATAATACGAATCAATTGAAGAATATAACCATCCGATGTTGTGACAAAATGTTGTTCAAATTCGAATCCACGTGATTGAATTATCTGAAACTTTAGAAAAAAAAGAAGAAATTCAGATCAAATTTGAATTGTCCTCGAGGCCTATCGCCAACATACAATATCACGATTAACATCAGCATTGTCCATTGCTGTAACATTGATCATTAGATCACTACCACCATCATGATTAGATAATGATTCTGTTGGATAATTGGCCAAAATGATGATGATCATAAAGGAAAAAATATTCAATAAACGAACGAACGACATGATGATGATAGTCAATGATTGAAAATGATTTCTTTTGCAAAAAAAACATTGGATTTTTATTTCGAAAAAAATCGATTAAATGTCATTTTATTGGAAACGTTTTTTTTTTGACATTGACTATCAATCAAGTAATGGACAACTTTGACAAAAACTCTGACTTTGAAATGTGAAGAAAAATTCCCCGGAAAATCACAGATCAAAATATCACCAAAAAACAACAACAAAATGTCTTTATGAATAGCGAGCAAGAATATCAAGAATTCGTTTATTAAATAAACGACCGCAATGTTTATCCCATATTAGATTCAAATGTCCTATCGATGGATCCGTTATCAGATAATCATCCATCAATTTCACTGTGAAAACAAAATACCAAATGAAAATCAACGATGATTTTGTTGGAAAAAAATCAACCATAACATTACCTTTAAGTTTGCTTTTCAATAAATCAATATTAATCATGGTGTTGAAATAATCATTTGATAGATAGAAAAGTGCCATATCGGTTGAATTTATTCGACTAGCATCATATAATGGCGGCGTTAAACGACCATATTTTCGAAGATTATTTAATGGACCATAATCAAAATATGAAGGATTACCATGTTCAATCATTTGAAGAAAATGTGCAATAACCCATGTCGATGATCCTAATGGAATATTGGCAATATAAACATTCATTCGATTCTGAAAACAAAAACGGAAAAAATTGGAAAAAATGACCAAACAAAATCATCAAAAATGATGACAACTTACCTCATTAAAATTACGAGGATGACCACCAATAAGATAAAGATAAAGATTACGACAAATATTTATCGTATTTGGATTCATACAGATTTCCGTAATAATTTTATGAGATTCGTAACCCAACATTGTTTGATAGGATCTAATTATCATTGATTATTATTACTATTATTCAAGTATCGATACAATCGATTTTTTTTACCTAAGAATTTCTTTCAATGGTACCAATACTTTTAATGGTGTTTTTAATTGTTCAGTATAGAATACTGGTGACAAGGCAATGTATGGACGAATTTTCTGTGAATATTCCGGTCGGGTTGATAATAATGCCAACATTATAAAATTTCCTAATGAATGTCCAATATAACCAATTGATTGATGATTTGTTTTGTCAATAACATAATCAATAATTGCTGGTAAATCTATTGCTATCATTTCATCCATTGAAAATGACCAATATTGTCGACCTGATGATGATAATTTTTGATTCGAAGTTAAGTGGTAAGTTCATCATTTAATAACATACTTTTTGGATTAAATTTAATATGATTATTCGAATAGATACTACCCCTATAATTAGCTAACCAAACATCATAACCACGATCAGCCAATACAAAACCCAATGTATTACCAACATCCGTATCGTTTGGCTGTTGCAGATGACCATTTTCATCGAATTCATAATAATGACCATCATTCATTAATCGTCCAGCCGATGTCACTAAAAAAGATGATCCTGTCAATTGAAATCCATGAAACAATATGATTGGTTTTCCAAGTTTATCTTGTCGATCATCAATAATTTTCGGATTTATAATTCGAACCAATTGAAGAATATAGCCATCCGAAGTGGTGACAAAATGTTGTTCAAATTCGAATCCACGTGATTTAATTAACTGAAACTTTAGAAAAAAAAGACGAAATTCAGATCAAATTTGAATTGTCCTCGAGGCCTATCGACAACATACAATATCACGATTAACATCATCAATATCCATTGCTGTAACATTGATCATTAAATCACCATTATTGTTATCATTATCGACAAATAATGGCAATGATGATTCGGTTGGATAATTGGCCACAATAATGATGATGATAATCATTAATGAAAAAATTCCACATGACCAATGATGACTATTTGGAAAAATTTTCAATAAACGAACCGCCGACATGATTATGATGTTTTTTTTATAAACTTGTTTCGACAAAAAAAAGCATTCGATTTTTATTTCGAAAAATTCATCCAAACTTGGATGATAAAACAACAACAACCAGAAAAGAAAAACTTTTTAAATAAATATGAAATAGGATTTCTTGGAATTTGGAAGAATCACATCGTGTTTAATGATTTTTTTTGTTATTTAAATGATGTTAACTTAAAAAAAATCACGTTTTTGATTCATCTAGAAAATAAACTTTTTTTTCACTAATTAATTTCGTTATCAACACCACGTTCTATTGTGGTTTATCTTGAAGCAATGAGGTGATGTTACAAAAACACCAACCAAAAAAAACATCCATTTTGATTTTATTCATTTATTCATTCAGGTGAAAATAAACTAACCTTTTTTCCACTAATCAATTACAAATCAGTGTATGACTAACAAAATACACAATGTGCATAATAAAAAGATTCAAAAACAAAGACAATTATGGTGAGGATAAGGTAACGTTAGGTGATACTGTTGTTATTATCAATTAAGTGTTCATTTGTTTAAACCCAAATACCATCTGGATTACGTTTAGTTGGTACAGTATTTCCTAATTCATGTAATGATACAGGAATTTTTCGATTAGTCGCCGATGATAATAACGATGATGATGATGGTGGTGGCGATTTTACCGTTTGATTATTATCTCGGATAATGTTGTTGGAACCATTATCATTGATTTGTTGTTGTTGTTCTTCATGGCCATCTTGAAATGATATCATTGATGTCGTGGTAAGTCCAACACGATTTTGCAGCTCTAAACCTTCAACATTTGCTTCTTTAATTTGTTCAATTAAATCATCGACAATTCTGTTTTTCATCTGTAATGTTTGATCAAAATGTTTTAAGGATTCATTCATAACTGTCAAGTCAGTTTGCTACAAAAGAAACAAAGATAAAACTAAATGAAACGAAAACAAATGATTAAAACCTACCTGATTATGAATTTTATCATTTTTTTCCTGTACAGATAATTTCAGTCGTTCAATCATTGTGTTGGAATGCTGATTATCATCCGAATATTTTTGATTCTGAAATTGATTATCAATTTTATTCATTAATTTTAAAATTTCATCACGACGACGACTAATTTCATTTTCACAATCAGCTAATTTGATTTTAATTTCATTGATTTCCGCTGAATAATGATGACCATCTTGAATCAGATGTTCTAATTCTTGTTCCATTTGTTCGGATTCTAATTGTTTAATAAGTAATTCTTGTTCCATCCATTTGGTTTTTAATTCATCTAATTCATCATCTTCATGATTATCACCATGATCAACAACAATATGGTCATTTTGTTTCATTTCATTTGGACGTTTCGAATGTATACGAACCAAACTAATCGATGGTTGTTGTTGTTGACTAGAATTTTTTGTTGTTGTTGTTGTGATAGAATTGTGATGATGATCATCAGATGATAATTGTTGATGATGACCATTCTCTGGTGGTTGTTGTTGAAACATAATAACACCATGATTCATTAATGAACTTTTTGCAATCGCTTCTTGATATGGTGGTGGTTTTCTTGGACGATTATTAATCGTTCTTGATAATGTTCCATATAATGATTCCATTTGATTATGTGATGATAATCTTTGTTGCTGTTGATGATTATGGTAAGATGGACGTCGTTGATGTGAATGATGATGATGATTCGTATTTCTGTTATCTCTGGTCAATGATAAATATTCATTATTCTGATGATGACTAGATATGGATTTTTCCAATTTTTCTTCTTCTTTATCTTCCAAATGATGATAATTTGGTTGATTATTGATAACATTTTGAAATAATTGTTGTTGTTGTTGTTGTGATGATTGATTTTCCAATGTTGACATTGATTTTGTTGTTTGATGATGATGGCCATTTTCCAGATTTATCGAACGTTTACGATTTTTAAATAAATCTGATTCAGATTTTTTTGATAATTTTGGTGTTGGTTGTCGATTGATTGTCGGATGATGATGATGATGACGATTATTATTATGATGATGGTTGTTAGTATTGGTGGAGGAACCAGGTGATAAATCACCCGATTTTTTTAATACAAATATAACATCATTTGAATATTCACCCCATTTCGAAATGGATTGAATTGGATAATCCGTAGGTGCTAGAATACGTTCATTATTATTCCATTTTTCAATTAAAATAAAACGTCCAGTTTGTCCAGTTGCATGTGCTAATGCAAATACAACATCTTGACATGTTGTTGCAGATGTTGCACCACAAACAATACGTTGGATTCCATCACACCAAACCTTTTTTTTAAAAATGAAATTTGAAGCCATCAATCAAGCAATTAGATTTAGATTTTAAAACAAACAAAAACTTACCTTGAGTTCCATATTTGTTTATTTTTTTGTTAAAAAGTCTTTAATTTTCAATGTTTTTTTTCTCTGGATGATGATAATGATAATGAGGTAGGTTGACATTCAAACATAATTCAGACATAAACAATGACCGGATGACATTGTGTGTGTGTGACACACATTTTATATTCTCAAAAAGACGACCAGAAAAAAGATGAAGTAAAAGAGCAAAGATATCAATGAAATTGTTAGTTAAAACCAGACCAGATGTCTTTTTTTCTTTATAAAAGTTTTCTTTTGAAAGCATTTAAAGAAAAACAAAGTTTCTTTCGATGTATGTTTTGTTGTTCTGTGAGATTGCTGTTAGGTTGTTTGAGTGTGGTTCGAGCAGTTTCCAAAGGGATATCGATCTCGTCGTCGTCGTGAAACTAACTATCTGAGCAGCAGCCACACAACAGCAGATGCCGATGATCATACCAGGCAATATAAATGGTGTGTGACAGAAGCACAGACAAAACCAAACCAAAAAAATGCAAGAGAAAAAAAATGCATAGACTGACTGTTGGTTGACGAGTTTTTTTTTTGAAATTTGAAACTGGATGGATGAATGGATGGGGACCCTGTTTGGTTCAATCTTGATTCAACTAACAGCAAGGCCATAAAATTATCAACGATAATGATGTTGACCTTGTTCTGAAATTGATTTCAATTTCCTGTTGATATTTCGGAATGTTGAAAAAAAATGTTTGTTGTTGACACGTGTATATAATTCGTTGAAAACGCTTGTACATCAGGGTATACAACATTCGTTCGTCTTATCAGTTTATTTAAAAAACTGTAACAATACGGCCAGATCAATATGTTTGACTATAAAATCATAATGATTAAATTTAAATATAATTAGAAGGTGAGTTGTTTAGTCCACTTTTGATAATGATTTTGTTTAAAAAACAAAAATCCATTAAGTTGACTAGAACTCACCTTCGTAGATTTTGTTTCTATCAAGGTAAATTAGATTAGGTTAGATTACACTTACTTATTACACTTGTAAATCAAATGACATTTTTTGTTTGAAAAAAATTTTATTTTATACCGTCAATATTTTGATTTATGCAATGTAAAAACATGGTCAACAAATTCGGTTGAATATAAAAAAAAGAAAAATATCGTCAAACAAAAGGAAAATTTAAAATTTAGAAAAAAAAACGTCGAATGTTTTTTGATAACTTGTAACGTCATCTATTAACAAAAACAGGATGATATAATCGTTCGTTTTGCTCGAATCAAATAAACACCGGTTTACCAAGAATGAATTTGATTATAATTAATGGAATTAATGGCCATAATGCAAAAATAAAACCCAAAATCCAATCAAATATACCATTCACAATACGAAATATTAATGATTTTGGTGGATCAAAATAAGCTGGTATACCTTTACGTTTTATAGTACCATCGATAACTTGACGTGATGCTTTTTTACAATCATATGCCATGCCTAATACGGAACATAAATCGATAAACATTGTTGATGGATTAAAAAATTCCCATGCTTGTTTTTCACTTGATGAATAATCATATGGAAATGTATGATGATAATTATGATTACCTTCACCTAAACTAAGGTAAATTACTAAACGATTTTCAGTTGGCCGTATACGATAATCATATGGACGATGACCAAAAAAATGTGCAATCGAATTTACCATAAACAAATGATGTAGAACAACTGTTGTACGTATAATGGCACAAAGATAAAATGATGTCCATAGTGATTCATTCCATGCAAAATATGGTAACACGGTTGGTATTATCAAACCGAAAACAATAAATAATGGTACATAAAAACGATGTTGTAACCAACAAATTCGATCTGCTTTAAGATCATCAAAATTCAATTTTGATCCGGCCATTTTTACCCGGTCAGTTTTTCGTACCATCCACCAACCAATATGTGAATAAAACAAGCCACGTGATGGATTTTTTGGATCCTGATCAGTATCCGAATATTTATGATGTGTACGATGATCACGTGCATAACTATAAGCACTACCATTCATTGTTATTACTTGTAATAATGCTAATATTAATCGTAATGTTATGGTTGCTTTAAAACTACGATGTGCCCATAAACGATGTCCACCAACAGCCATACCTAAACCAGATGATAGTCCCAATATTGATGAAAATATAAATGTATAACGATTAATATCATTTTGGATTAAATGTACGAAACCAATCATCGATAATGTATGTATAGTTATGATGATAATTATATTTGACCATTTTAATCGACCAAATTGATGATATAATTTTTTATAGATATTTTTTTTACCATCCACTATTGATGTATTGATGGTTATATCATTCGGATTTGTATCGATGATGGCTGATGATTCTTCGGTTTCGGTTTCAGTTGATTCGACCACATTATTATTATCAATAATGGATATGTCAATTTTGGATTCCATCGTTTTAATCGTTACAACAGATCAATTCAAAATGACAAATATATTTGTTTGTTTGCGTTGCGAAGTGACAAAATGAAAAATGCTTTAAACAACAAAATTTTCGAAAAACTAAGAGTCAAAAATTTTTGTTTTCGAATCTGATCATCAATGTTGTTGTTGTTTTGTACCATGGATTATACGCACGGTCACCTTTACTTTTTTTCTTCCTTTTCTCTCTCTCTCTCGAACTTCTCGTTTTCAGCAAAAAAGTAAACCGTTCAGGAAGTGCGAATCTGTACAAAATAAAAAAATTAAAAGTCAAATGAACAACGATGATAACGATGAAAGGCTTGACTTGGGGAAATGAAAAAACCTGTTTTTTTGCTTTACTTTTTTGGATCTTCCAAATAGGTCCGTCCGTTTTTTCTTGAGTTTTCTCGACAAATCGAACGACGATAACGGATGGTGAAAAACAAAAACAAAAAAAAACTTGTTTCTTGAAAACTTTCTCTTTCAGATTTTTTTTTCTGTTAACATTGACCGAAAAAAAAGTGAAAAACCTTCGAAATTGTATTAATTTCCGATATTCTTATGGATCAAATTGATGATCATCATGCAAACAAAAGATTATCAAAAAGTTTTTGGATTTTATTCAGTTTTTCTGGGGATTGCATGATGGGAAAAATAATAATAAAAACTATTTTAAAAAAACATTGAATAAATTCTTTCAAAGATGAATCAATTGTTGTAAATTATTATCATTCGAGGTTTGTTGTTGATGATAATGATGATGATGTTTTTGAGGTTGGTCATCTTCATCGTTTTTGTCATCAATCAATGAATCGCCACTTGTATTCGCATCATCATCAGCGTTATTATTATTGATTAATGAATTATTTTTAATCAACATTTTATAAAGAATTTCCATTAAATGACGAACAATTTGTTTATCGGCCAAAATGAATACATTGGCTTCCATTTGTATCATTTCAGGATTAAATGCAACAATCGATATGATACGTTTATCTTCACGTAAAACAAAACAACTGGATATATGTTTTTGTTGCCATTCGATTACGGAATCATTCGATGAATCTTCAATCAATAGTGATGGACGATTACGAATTAATAATCGATTCGAATATATTTCGATAATAACTTCCGTCGATGATGATGATGTTGAATCAATTCCAAATTTTGATCGAAGATAACGATTACGACGACGATAATTTTGATTATCAAGCATTCGGCGTACAATATTACGTGTTGCCATTTTTACAGCTGTTTTAGCCATTGGATCTGTTACGATACATTTACCCAATGATAATGCATGAAATTGTTGATAATCGGTATTCGAAGACATTTTTTGTTTTGTTTTTTGTTGAATTTGGTTCAATTAAAACAAAGAAATAAAATTGCAAAAATTAAAAATTTTAAAGAAAAAAAATCCAAACAAATGTATCAGAGCATCTGTTTTCTTCAATTTATATCCAATCGATCAAATCAATCAAAATCAAATCACCGAAAGTTGATATTTGTTTTCATCGTTCAAAATTTTTTTGATGATAAAAAAAAATTTCGAACGATGACAAAAAAAAATCAATGCTTTTGTCGCCATCTATCGATTGTTTTTCGCTTCAAAATAATTTGAATATTTTTTTTTCATTGATTTTGGCTAAAAAAATCAAATTAAAATCTTTAATAAAATTATTATTATTATCTGCATCAAAATAATTCAATTATTTAAAATTACAATAAAAAAAATTATGGAAAAAAAATTCTATATAGGAAATGAAAAATTCTTGTTATGATTTGTTGGTTGATTGTTTGTTTGAGATTGAAGAAATTGAATTGAAAATATATAGCTCGACAAAAAGACCAGGAAGGTGTGTTGGTGTGTTTGCTATGTGGATGTGTGTTGAGCTTGTCGATTTGTATGTTTGTGACTTGTATTAATCATTAAATCAATCAATCAAAATGAAAAATATTTGGACTAAATTTGTTTTTTGTTTTGCTTTTTTGTTTTGTTGAAAAATGATAGAATCTCTTTTTCTGATTAGAAGATGATAACTGGCCGGCCAGTAACAATTTTAAACAGAATTGGTGGATAAATAGCCCAGCCAGCAACAACAGTACCAATAATCCAATCAGTTGCACCTTGTATTATACGTTTACGCATTGGTTTTTGAATCATTAATTTTTTTTCATAAAAACGTGGATCACCTATTCTGGAAACAATACCTTTCACTACACGATCAGATGGTTTTTTCAAATCATATGCCAAACCAATCATTGAACATATATCAACAAATAATGTTGATGGATTAAATACTTCCCACCATTTTTTTTCACAATTAGCATAATCATATGGAAATGTATGATGATAATTATGTGAACCTTCACCTAATGATAAATACATTGTTATTTTGGATTCAGTTGGACCAATATCTTTATTATAAGGTCTAATCCCGAAAATATGTGCAATTGAATTGACTGTAAATAAATGATGAACAACAACAACTGTACGTAATACGGCCGACATGAAGAATGAGATCACAATATCTTCGTTCCACAAATAGACCGGTATTAATGTTGGTACAACAACACTGACCAATAAAAATAAGGGAAAATATAGCTTTTTTTGCCATACAATTAATGGTTCATCATCCAGATCTTTATGATTTAATTTTTGTCCCATTCGAATAACTTCAGGATGTTTTTTCAACATCCACCAACCAATATGAGCGAAAAAGAAACCACGTTTAGCATTTTTTGGATCACCATTTGTATCGACAAATTTATGATGACAACGATGATCACGTGCATAACTATAACAACCACCATTCATTGATAATGTTTCGACTAATACCAAACCAAATCTTAATAACCATCTTGCTTTAAATGAACGATGTGCAAACAAACGATGTGCACCGATCGATACACCAAAACCACCGGCTACCCCCAGCATTGCGATCCATGGTACAGTAAAAAATTTGACCGGATATAGCGAAACATAAACATAACCAATAATAAGTAATGTATGTGTAAATAATAACCATATTACATTTGTCCATTTAATCTGTTCAGGTCGATAGCCAAATATTGTAAATTTAAATCGCTTTTTGGTATTCTTATTATTATTATTATGATTATTCTCACTATTTGTTACTTTTGTTGCCAATTTATCATCATGATCATCATAATAATCATTTTCGATATGTTTATCATTCAAGGCAATCATTTGATATTGACCATTATTGTTGTTATTATTGTTGACTGATGGTTGATGTTGATTATCATCGATTGTAATCTGAAGCTGTTGTTGTTGTTGTTGTTCGAGTTTGAATTTTAAATTATCCTTATTATTATTCTGATCGATGATTAGATTTGTGGTTAAATGTTGTTGTTGTTGTTGTTGTGATTGTTCATAATCATCATTAACTGATGGTAATTTGGATAATGATGATGATAATGGTAATATTGGATTACGTTTAGGATCACCAACAATATCATCATCATCATTATCGATCATAATAATCGATGATGATATTGATCTATCGATTTTGGTTATAAAATTTTCCGAATTTGTTATTGTCGTCGTCGTCGTTGTTGCTGTAGTTGGCATTTCGTTTGATTGTGTCCGTTTCTTTTTCATTAACGACGGCGGTGATGATGAAGATGAGGATGATGATGATAAACGATGTTGTTGTTGTTGTTGACGAGAATTACTTCTATTTAAATTTGATCCACTGCCATTCATATGATGATGATGATGATCACTATCAAAATAATCACTGTCCACATTGATCGCCATATTTTGTTTTTGATGATGATATGTGTATGATGATGATTAGAGTGCGTTTATTCAAATTGTAATTCAAAACCAATCAATCAAATCAATTGATCGATCACTACATACGAATCAAAATAATAATAAAAAAATCAGGATTGATTTGTGAAATCAAGAATTCAGTGATGAATCTATTTGAAAAAAATGAAACAAAACAAGCAAATAAAGAAAAATTAGTGAATTGAATATCCAGTACGAAGAGGGGAGGATTGAACAACAACAAATTTAGCAACAGACTTTTATCAGCAAGAAAGCTATTATTATTAATTAATTTACAATCATTAAAATTGATCGCAAACAACAACAACAACAGCAAAAAACGCAAACAGACCTTGGAATACGAAAAAAAACATGAGAAAAAGAAAATGATAGCTGTGTTTTGATTCGCAAAAAAGCATTCGGTATCTGGATGATGATGAATATTATTAACATAAAAAAATGAAATAAATAAAAAATCAAAGAAAACAACAACAACAACTCAAAGTTCTTCAAGTTTGTTTTTTTTAATCTTCTGTTTGTTGTTGGAACCGCAATGGTGATGATCATTGATTATTTGATCATTGAATTTAGTTTTTTTTCTGATTACGTGAACATTGACATGATCATCATCGAAGTAAATGGATAATGAATGGCCATGATCAATGATAATAATGATGGCTAATAATAATAATAATATTTATAAATAAACAAATGCTTGACGAATGCGATTTTTTTTTGTTTGTCGATGACAAAATCGATTTCGAAATCCGCATCATCAAAAGTAAAAGTTAATGAATGAATGACCATGGCTGTTTGTTTGTTGATGTTTGTTACTATAAAAAAAAAGAAAGAAATTATCAGATATTATTTTCTTTCCAAAAAAGAAAAAAAATCATCACATTTCACACTCCGTTCGTATTATTAAACGATGAAAGAGAAATTGGAATGGATTTTGAAACAACAAATTTCTGGCTAGCTAGCGGCGATCCATGTCCTTCAATCAATTTTTTTTGCACAAACATCAACAAATAAGTGAAAAAGAAGTAGTTTTTCACATTCAAAGTCGATATCCAAATCTTCTGAATTGAATCAATGGATACAAAGAGACAGAGACAGAGAGAGAGAGAGAGAGAGAGAAAGAGAGAGCCAAACTAGAGTCGAATGGACTGAAAGTATTTCCAGTCTGTATAATGCTAATTTTATGCCTTTTATTCATTTAACACAAGATGATCTTGATGGTGATGATGATGACGATGAACGATTAGAAGTGTCGGCCAAGAAAAATGAAATGAGTTGATTGCAAAATTTAGCAACACAAACACATGTCCAATATGATTTCAAGAAAAATACAGGTGAGGAAATACCTGTAGAATCCTGAATATTAATAATCAAGTATTCCGTTCATTCAACCGGTGTATAGGTTTTTCTTAGAACCACAAAAGATGGTTGATAGATTCTATGAATGAAAAAAAAAGTTAACGGATTTTGATGAATTGATTGATGAATCTATATTTATCCCCATAAACACATACACACACACAAAGAGACAGATAATATTTCATAAGAATGACCTTAAACTAATTGATTTTTCTTTATATGATGATCAAATTCGATGGGCGACCTATTTTTTCAAAAAGAAAAAAGTTAAGTTACGATTGCACGTGATTGCCGAAACTATTTTTTGATACTTTTGTTTGAACACACACACACACACACACACAAACAAACAGTAAGAGGATATAACATAATTAGCTTGATCCGATCCTTGATTGTTGTTCATCAAATAATGAATCAATAAGAAATTAGCATTTCTTTAGTAACTGAACACTGAGTATTAAACAAAAAAACAATGATCAATTAAAAAAAATTTTTGAATAAAATGTATCGATCCTCATCATTTCGTTATGATGAAATAATGAAAATTCATGTAGAAGAAAAGATAGGCAAACCTTTTTGGAAAAAGCACAGCGAAGTAGATAGACTATGGAACATATCACCAGAAATTATATATTATTTGTTTATCATTTGTTGACCGAAATTCATTCATTCATTCATTCATTTTTTTTCACTGGTTTAAATCTAGTTTTCTGTGTCAACAAATGTTGTATGTGTTGTGCGTCTAATCAATGAATTTCAAATGATAAATTTCAATAAAAATTGTGGATAAAAAAATGAATCTTTGAAATCAAGTAACAAAAAACAAACAAAAACAAAAATCGAATCTATCCAGTTGCAACCATTCGTCGTCGTCGTCGTATGATTATTGTTTCTTTTTCGTCTTTTATTTGGTCAATTTTAAGAAAAAAAATTGATAATAATGATGATGTATCAGCATCAACAGTGGAATTTTTTTTCATTTCAAGGAAACAAAATCCAATATTTCGATGCGACAAATTATCAATGACCAAAAACAATCATCAAATGGACCATTATTTTATTAAAAAGAATGAAGAAATGATGATGAAGAAGGATGTGATGATTGATTGATTGATTGATTGGTGGTGGCCAATTATGATTGATATTTTTCTTTCCCGTTGATATTTTGATTATATGTTTTCAACAACAACAAGAAAAAAGGTGGTAATAATGGTGACGACGAGGAAAATCGAATGGCCATCATCAAAACAACAAAGGCCACCAATTTTCCTCAATAGGTCAAATTTTATTGATTTTTTTTAGCCAAAGAAGAAAAAAACATGACAATAAAGATAATAACTTACTTTTGGTTGGTTGTCCGGAAATATAATAATATTTTTTCGTTTGTCTCTGAATGTTACACAAAACCACACATAAAATCCCCGATCGATAATTCACGTGGAAAGTTCACGGCCAATTAATCATTCATTCAGTTATGTCGGTTGTGCAATTAAAAAATCACCAATAAGCAACGAAAATGAAAAGAGACAATACACACAGTTATTAATCGATGATAATCGATGATGATGATAATTATGAAATACGAATGGTGTTTAACTTGATTGATTTTTGATGAAAATAATGATAGTGGCGATAATGATAATCGATAATGATCGGTGTGTGTGTGTAAGACAGGTATAATGAAAAGTTAATTGAAAGTCCACAAAAATTATCGTGATTTTCAAATGAAATATCGTCACACACACCGAGTGAAATTTCACCAAAAAAAACGAAAGGATTTTTTGATTTGTTTGTCACTGTTATTCGAAAGAAGAAAAATAATGATGATATTTGATTGTTGGATGGACGAACCGGTTCTTTAAATACACTTATTTGGCCATCGCGATGATAAAATTTTCAACAAAAACAACAACGAAAAAATCGATAAATAGTTTCATGAACAATATTTTGATACAGATATTTTGAGCGAACAAAAAATTATCATCGAACGATGATTGATTGATTGATTGGATAAACAAAACAAAACAAACAAAAAAGAAAGGTTAATGCCACACGATCGAATTTTGATTGTTGATTGATTTTCTGATTTTCGATAATCGATATCGATCCAAAATAGATCGATCAAATCAAATCAAATCAATCGATTTTGTCAAATATTAATCATCAAGTGAGAAAAGTGTTATTCGGAAGAAAACGTTCGATCGAACGTTTTTAAACAAAAAAAAAATTGTCCGTTCACAAATATCGTCACCAACAATCAACAATTATCATTCGAATTCCGAAACAAAAAATTGATGATGATAATTTCCAACCATCCACCAACAAATCAAATGAACGATAAAATGAATATTGTTCATCCGAAAACAATCTTTATTAAAAATGATTTTTTTTCTCTCTTTCTTTTTTTCCCCGAATGAAAATGATGCAGTTTTTGTTGTTGTTTTTTTCTTTTTTTCGTTTGATTATGAAAGAGTGTCTCTTTTCCTCCCACACTCATTTCATTTCTCATGAATGTGATCAACATTATGATGATCATCATAGTGAAAAGAAAAGAAAAGAAAAGAGAAGAAAATTGTCTTCCTTTTTTTCTTTTCTTTTCTTTTTGATGATGATGATAATAAACGAAGACGACGAAGAAGACGATATGAATCGGAATTTTTTGAAAAATGTTGATGGTCATCTTTGATCATGATAATCATGATGATGATGATGATAACGATATTAATCGTTTAGTTTGAGTTTTTTCTTGCTTTTCATAAACAATCGATTAACAATCAAAAAAAAAAAAAAAAAAAAAAAAGGGGCAAAAAAAAATTTAATAAAGAAAATAAAAATGTTT